AACTAATTCGAAATATAAATGATGTTTTTTGAAATCCAAATGGCAATTTTGGAATACAATTAAACATTTTTGAACTAAAATTGGAAGACGTGTAGAACAGTATTGAAGTTATGATAAGAAAATGTTTTTTTTAAGTTTCAATACCCTTCAGCTCGAAAGTTGAGAGTAGGGCATATAGGGAACTTTATCCTATACTTTTAGCATTCAATTGAATTACACCCTGTATAATTGTTCTTCTCCATAACCTGCACAAAAATGAAATAGGTCGCGTGCACGATGGCTGACCCTGGAGGTAAAAAATTGAAACACAACCTCACTCTTCTGTAGAACATTGAACCACAACCTCACTTTTTTTATTTTTTACAGAGGAATCAAAGGATTGAAATAGTGTTTCATAATATTTTGGCATAGGAATCGTGTTTGTTTCGCTATTCATTAATTCAAACATGCCTTCTCATTCTGCTGTTGTACAATGCACTAAAAAAGGAGCGAGAGAGACGAAGAAATATGATTTTTCAGGTAAATAGTAATCTCTCACATAGTTTTCATTATGAAATTTTGTCATTTCTCATTGAAATTCCTTCTGCCACTTCTGCAATAGTAGCTATAATACTGCTAATAGATTGGAAATGTCTGCAACACACACGATCATATTTCGTCAGCATGTCAGACCAATCCTCCCGTTTGATGGCATGAATCCAATCTTCTTGCATTCTTTCAGAAATTTCACAAGAATTTCTATAATCTCCTATTGCAGAAGAAATTCCGATTCAAAATAAAAACTAAATGTGAGTGACTATAGTAGATACTTATAAATCATAATGTACCAACAGGATTCCTTCGTCTTCCGCTGCATTTTTTGTGCATTGTACAACAGCACAATGTGATGGCATGAGCGAATTAATGAATAGCCGAAAATCACGATTCCTATGCCAAAATAATTGTGAAAAACTATTTCAATCATTTGCCAACAGATGAGAAAAGTGAGGTTGTGTTTCAATGTTTCACCTACAGGGTCGGTCATCTGACAGTTCTTGCACGCACCCATGTATATTTTTATATTGGTATAACCTCCGTTTCCTTTTTAAGTACTAATAGAAAACATGCTGCCCAGTGCCCAGCTCAAACTTATCTTCACTTTTGTGTGAAAGCCAAGCTTATAAATATGTAAATAGCTTCTTGTAGTACCTGTTAGATGCTTAGTGCTAGACTTGTCTATGTCGAGTGTACACAAATGCAAATATTTCCCGGTTGCATTTCATGATTGTTTTTTTGATCATTCAAGATCATGAACTGTCTAATAAGTGTTTCTATATAAAACATGAATTAATAATGATTAATATTTGGATAGTTTGAATCGAGCATTCTAACTGCTATCTCGACTAATATTGAGTACATGGTGTTAGATCGAAAATATTATGATCAAAACAGTACTTACTTGAAAATGTGATGTTAGAATATCAGATTCGAGGAATGAAATTTTGTAAATTATAGTAAAAACTGTTGTAGTTCATTAGATATGGGAAATCAATAGACATTTTGTTGTACTTTAGGAGTTTGATTTCAAGGTAGTCCTGTAAAATGACCCACAAAATATTACCAACAAAATTGTAATTCCAAATGAAAAACTAGAGTACATATTTAGAAATGGCATCTACCAAGTTTCATTGCTTGAATTCATCCAGAACTCAAAGAGTTTTTATGAAAACACGAAAATAATTGAAAAATACTCTCCTTCATTGTACTTAACATATATTTATTTCTCTGGAACCATACACAGTCGATTTTCTTTCTTCACCACTTTTCACTTTCAAAATATTTCACACTTTTTTAGCAAACTCACTTATCACCACCATACCTTTTTAACAACTTTCTCCCTCAATAATGAGCACTACTCGCACGAACAACGACTTGAAGCAGCTTGCCTACTTTCTTGTGAATAGCACGGCACGAATTTTTTCTAAAAAATATACGAGGTGTTTCACCACGTGAAGGACGGACTTGGTCTGAAAGTAAAAGACAGCAACTTCATGTCCAGTACACAGCTTCGCGGATGATAGTACCCTCCATACCGCCTTCTCTTCCAGGGCTCCAATACCAGCCAGGCAAATCAGAAACGAACGAGGGAGAAATGTTGACAACATAAATATGGACTTGGCAACAATTCTCGAATGGGGATCCAATAACTTGGTAGATCTCAATGCAAACAAAACACAAGCATGCCTTTTCTCTAGAAAAGCCGATCTCAGTCTCACTGTGCCCAACATAAGCTTTTCGGGAGTAACCATACCTTTGAAGACATCTATTTCGATGCTTGGTATTACTATCAGCAATAACCTTTCTTGGGAAAATCACGTGAGATCAATTGCTAAAAGTGCATCCCAAAAATTTGGTTTTCTGTTTCGGGCTAGGAGCTATTTCACTTCCAGTCAGCTGCTTTTGATCAATAAGGCACAGATCCGACCAGTCCTGAAATACTGTTCCCATATTTGGAGTGCAGCACCCAAAAATACCTTGAAACTGTTGGATTCTGTTCAAAAAAGGGCAATTCGTCTCGTGGGTGATGCCTCGCTCACAAACTCACTCACTTCTCTGGAAAACCGTAGAAAAGTTGGCGATCTGGCTCTATTTTATAGATATTTTCATGACGATGCTCTTCTGAAATATCAACCCCTTTGGCAGTCCCCGCGAAATCAACCCGTCGAGTTGAGGCCTCGGATCCCATCGTGGTCACTTTTGAGATCTGCAAATCAGATGATTTGTCCCTCTACAAATATATTGAAATAATACGAATACTTTTATTTTATAGAAACGAGGAGAGAAAATCCCAAAAAACCAAGTAAAATGAATGTACCACCTCCTCGATTAACCTACAGACAGTATTCATTTATTTCAAATTGAATACCCTGTATCCCTGAATTGAAGCATTTTCGGACCCATGTTCATATGAATACCCTGTATACTGGGTGACACTGACTCATGGTATACCCCCCTTTTCTCCTTTTTTTTTTTAGCAAGATTTTGGAAATTTGGAACATCGAATATGCTGACTAGATGCATTTTCTCAAATTTTAGGAATTTTTTGTCATCTTCCTGTTTTCCTGGAAATGACATCAACTTTCGATTTTCAAATGGAACACCCTGTATTTTATTCCATAATTGGTTAGAAATTATTACGAATTCAACAATACCGGGTTTGATTGGGTTATTTCAAACGATTACGAAGATATTCGCGTTCGAAGTGTCCATAAGCTAATGATGGGTGGGACAGAGAAAGAATTTTCAATATTGTGTCGTCACACCCATATTGAACTTATGGTAACTTCAAACGTGAATATCTTCGTAATCGTTTGAAATAACCCAATCAAACCCAGTAATGTTGAATTCGTTATAATAATATCTATCCGATTATGGAATAAAATACATGGTGTTCCATTCGAAAATCGAAAGTTGATGTCATCTCCAGGAAAACCGGAAGATGAAAAAATGTCCTAACATATGAGAAAGTGTCCTCTATTGAGCATATTCGATGTTTCAAATTTCAGAAATATAGATAGAAATCCAAAGAGTATACCATGAGCACAGTTTAAGAAATGAATATGTATTATAGGAGCATTATTGTAGTAGTTGCTTCAAGTTTCTTCATAATTTTATGCTTTATGCCTCAATTTTAATGAAATCTGGAATCAAAATAGAGAAGTTTTTAATGTGAACTATTGAAGTATTCAAAATCAACATTGTTTGTCTTACTGATTTCTGAAAAAATTGTTTTTCAGTTGAAAGCATGACATACATCTCTTCCATTACCGTTACTTCTTTGGGTGTTGGCTATCTGATGGGTATAATCTATGGTTGTTCTAACATTCTTGAAAACATAAGGGCTGAGTATGATCTAACTATACTAACAGAAAAAGATCTAACTATACTAACAGAAAAATGAATTATTATTTTTTTCTAACTGACATGTAATTTGACACTTTTTAAAAGTGGCGGAAGTTTTGAAACGTCTTACTTACGAAATAAAAATATGGATGAACGAAGAGAATAGTGTGCTGCTTTCTCAATATCACTGAGGAAATTTGAACTTATATATTGAATCAGCCATTATCTCTAAACTATATCAAACGAATCTATTTCATGAATTTCGTTGCTGACACCACCACAGGCCATCATCAGACATGAAATTGATGTATTCAGAAGTACCCCAGCAATACATATTAACAGCAAAAAAAAATAATCAAAAAGCCAAGGTCGAAGTTCAAGATATCAGTCCTGAATAATATATGAAATATGTTCAAATCTGGAAAAAGTCCAGTAAAACCAGATCAGCATTATATTAATAATGATAATAACATTAGCACAATTTTACCAAAAACTTTCAAAAAATAATTCTCTCACGTGAAATTCATCAGGTTATGCAAAATGTTAAATTGATTGAATTTTTTTACTTTTAATATGTATCGCCTTTGCCTTTGCTGAGGTATAGGTACTTCTGAATTCATCAATTATGTGTCTGATGATGGCCTGTGGCCGAAACAAGTCACATTACCTATATCGAATAATTTTTCGTGGTCGACAGAATTTGGGACTTTCATTATTTATTCTTATAAAAATCAATTGGACCATGAAAACCATGAAAAACGTGTTCCGAATCACAGCACTGTATTTTTGATTTTATTTAGGAACACAGATTTTCAGCGGATTTTCTGACAGTACTGACACAGTACTTGCCAGTTGAATTGGGATATAGCCATTATTATTTGACAGATATACTTGTGAGGAGGAATGTAAATTTGCCTACTAAATTTTGTACATAATCGGTAGAACTATCATATTTGGTCATTACTTCTGTTGAAGCGAAATTATTCATCAAATTTAGAAAAAATATGTACATAACAAGTAAGGAAATGCATTTTGTGTAACTGGTAAACGTAAATATCTATTCCATAAGCTTGAAATTTCATGAGTATAATAAACAATTGTTTCCCATAAATTGTAATTTATTTTTCAGGCAGACTAGACAAGAAATTCCAGTCTGATGAAGAAGATGCTGTGCCTCTCTTGCAGAGCATGGAAAACTGAAAATTTGCTTGATGTCACCTTTGAAATTTTCAGAGTAAAGTATTTTGATATACACAAAGTATTCATTTCTTGATGAAGGCTATGAGAGCCCTGTCCCTAAAGAGATCAGGGAATAGGAGAATAAGTCTCAGAACACATTAATTTTGTAACAGACATTTATTTTGATACCAGAAATTAAAACATTTCAATCAACTTTTGATATCACTTTTATTTAGGAATATAGAGAAAATATTACAGGGTTGCACATAAAGCAAAAAAAATACATATAAAAAAACATAAAATCATAATAATTCCTCCTCTGCTCTGATATATTCCCCAATATCAGCTTGATGGAAGCAAACTGTTGTCAAAGGATCAGCATGTTTACACTCTGCGGTTGACCTAGCAGCAGCACCAAATCCCAAAGGTAGATCTGACATGCTGTATACCACTACTCCTTGATATTTCTCTGTACTTTCACTTATTCTTCCTAATCCAGATTTAGGAACATGATGGCCATACAAAAATTGTTGTTCTGCAGATGGCTTCAACCATATTTTACTCTAGAACATATCAAATTGAGTGGAATTCATTTACTCAATAAATTTGGGGTAAACTCACTTGTGCATAAGGGGCAAGGTAGTTCAATGCAGTAACATGTAGCTTGAACTTATTGGATTTTGTGAATTTGCCGAAGCAGGTACCAATGGAGATCAAATTGTCTGGAGGAATGGTATTTGCTAGTTTCAGGGTCCTTTCTGAAACATAATAGATCCTGTCTCTCTGCTCCCTGAAGCAGTATACTCCATCTGGACGTTCTATTAGTAGCTTCACATTGGGTCCAATACTGAAAAATTGTAGAATTAAGTATGAGGAAATGTTATAGATATATGGACTCATTACTCACTATTTGGATAATTTTTCAAATAAAAGTTTTGTCCTTTCTTCTGATAAACGCTTCATTTCAAAAAGTGTGGTTAAATTCTTAAGTTTGCGGGTCTTCTTGTTTATTAAGTTCCTGCCTTTTGCAAGTTTTGCATCATGCTTGGACAGTAATTAACCAGTAACGGCGATAACCAACAGATTTACAGAAGCCTGTATAAGTTTCGGATTGAAATTGATAGATGTCTGATGCTTTATTGCAAATGCAAATGTCAAATATCGAGTCAAGCGTCACATTTGTCAAAATTCGGAGGGTTATTAAACAAAGTACTTCTGATTTTGTTCATTTAATTTCATTTTATTTGTATTATTTTTCTGGTGGTGATGATAATGAGATAACCAAATAGATTAAATAGTAGCGTAGATCGAATTTTCATTTGTGTTGAAAAATGCGCGTGTGGTATATGTTAATAAAATTAGCCAAATGGAATCAAACTTGTATAAACTGAACAAGTACAGAAGTGTTATAGAAGTCGATGATTTTATAGACTTTCTGTATTCCAAAAAGTTCATTGATGAAAATCAATGCATACATATTTCGAGCAAGGTAAGGCATAATTTATATGGAATAGGGTTTGCAAAATAATATCATGTAAAAATCTCTGTTAAAACACAATGAAATCTGAAGTAAACAAATAAGTCAGTATCTACCTCCACTGATGACTTCCAAAATATTCATGTTCTCCAAAGGAAAGATGTTCAAACTTGAGTGCTTAACTGCTTACCAATGCACTTGACTACTTGAGTCACTCAAGTTTGGTACCTACCAATGGGTTGAACCTGTTGAGTGGTGGTTTGAAATTTCTCAGGTTAAGCCCCAGGTTTTTTGGTTTCAGCTCAAGAATTCTAGACTTCATGAAGTGTTTAGCATTATTGAAATAATTGATGATTTGAATATAGTTTTTGAATACCTGAAAGACAATCATCCCCACCATGAAAAAAATTTGGAAGATGAAAGAGCTCTCCATATTGTCTCTGTCAGAGGAGGTTTTCCTACACTTCCCCCAAATTATGTATCCAGGGAAACCTTGGTGAGTATCAATAAAGACTTCAAGCAATTTCCATGTATTGACTATTAGAAAATGGTTGAAAAACATTTTTGATGAATGATGAAGAATTATTTTAAAAAAGTTGTTCAAATTCTGAAGTTTATATCCATTCATTATGTAGACAAAGTAAATGTGATTTCTTGTAGAAAATAACAACCATTCTGTTTGATTATCTATTTATAATTTTAGATTTGCTTTGAAAAAAAATTAGCAATTGGCTTTTTTTACAAATATTTGAATATATGGAATAATAATGGACAAATACCTATGCCATTCTAATTCAAGATATTTAATTCATTTGTATTTTTGAATATAATTATGTTTTTTCATGCTGCCTGTGTCAGGAGTGGATACATTTGGTAATATCTTCTTGGAATTATTTTTATACAAAGTATAGACTAGATTTTTTCATATCAGTCTGATTCTATGGCTTTTCCAATGTTTCAGACAATGAGATCTTTATCAATTTTATTTATTCCATCAAAATGTTGGGAAATGCAGTATGAATTGATGTTATCAGAGATAATAAAGTAAACAACCATTTTGTGCATTTTTTCATGGTTATCATTGACATTGAATGATCAAGGTGATTAATAGCTGATAAAAATGTATTTAGATCTTTTTATATTAATTTGTATCCATCAAGTTGAGATTAACTATATCAATGAAAATTCATTGGAAAATTCTAGTGTCAATTATTGTTATAGAGAATATTGAAGTTTCAAAGGTAATTAAGTAAGAATCATTGGGACTACTTAAGACTTGGTGATTATATACCTAGCAAATTTTGCCCCACTACAAACCCATCAGAAAAAAAGTTTATGCACCTGGTGTCAGGCACACCAGGTACACATTAAAAAAAGGTGCTGGGCAGTCTTTGAGGACTGCCGATTGAAGAGAAAACTGAGTAACTTGTGAATTCTATCGTCGAACTAGTAGATTATTATTTTTCTACTCCTATTTAGTTTGTTTAAATCTCCAAACTTTGAGGAATGATTCATAATCTCCGACCCTGAAAACCCTAGATACAAATTTTGAATAGAATCGGATTATAATTACAAAACTCATCTGCCATATTCAATCCACCATCTTGAAATTTTCATGAAGGAATCATAATCTCCGTCCCCAATAACCCCCATACACCAATTTTGAATAGAATCTGATCATAATTATAATTACAAATTACTGCATGGGAGATACCCTTCAGATTTTTTGCTATTCAGTGACTTCCGAGACGTGAGAATGACGCGAAATCCAATATCCGATGTTTTTTTTTCTTCACCCAAAAAAAAAGTATGAAAGAAGTTTTTACTTGAAATACATATAATTTTTAGTTCTCTTTGGTGCACATCAAAGAAATTTCAAAATTCCAGTTTTTTGTCATTGGCCCCACAGGAAAAGTGTGGGTACGTCTTTGAAATTGTTATTTTGATTTTCTTCGAGATATAATATGCAGGGTGGCATTGAAATAAGTGTGAATATTCATAGCCTCGAGTCAGCTTGACTTATACTATCGAGTGGTACCAATGAAAAAATATAGGGATCAACATAAAATTTGAGGTTATAGACCCCTTTTTCCACATTGTAGCAATTCTGACGTCACCTCTGTTAAAATTTTCGTGCGGAAGGCATTGTTTTAAAGTGGCATACTCAATTTTTTTCCCGTTTTTTGTTCAACTGTCGGGATGAAATTTCTTGTAAGTAGAAGAATTAGGAAAAATCTGATATCATGGGAAAATTCGTTAGACTATATCATATAGATGTGCTGATTATATGTACTCCTTTCATTTATTCACGATAAACCCCATAACAAAAATATACATAAATGTACATTAATTCATAGTGGATGAGCTCAATACTAATATAAAAATATTCACTATACAGGGTATGTCACTTCGAATCAGTCGGGAGAAATCCATGAAAATGTGCATGCTCATATTTTAGAATACCATCTCTTCATTTAAGATATTTTCGACAATGCAGTGATGCCGCTTCTACTAGAAAGTAGTAGCAACATTGATATTTCAAATAGAACACCCTGTATTTTATTGCACTTTTAGATTCTTCCTGAAGAGATGATTTTATCGATATATCACAATTTCGGTCTATCGAAAAAGATCACAGAGATATAGGGTATTCAAAATCGAGATTTTTCAACTTTAGGATTTATTCATTATCGGTCAAAACGGCTCACATGTCCCAATCTCAACTTTTGATTCACTATTTACTGATTTTTAATCGGAACAGATACAGGGTGGTCCAAGATTCAGAGTTCTGATCACCCTGTATATGTTCCGATTAAATATAAGTAAATATTAAATCAAAAATTGAGATAGGGACATGTGAGCCGTTTTGGCTGATAATAAATAGTTTCGACACAAACGAATCCTAAAGTTGAAAAATCTCGATTTTGAACACCCTATATCCCTGTAATCATTTCCGATAGACCCCAAGTGTGATGTATCGACGAAATCAACTCTTCAGGGAGAATCTAAAAATGCAATAAAATGCAGGGTATTCTAATTGAAATAACAAAGTTTTTGCTACTTTTTAATAGAAGCGGCAACGCTGCATTGCCAGAAATATTTTGAATAAAGAGATCGTATTCTAAATTATAAGCATGCATATATTTCCCATGTTGTCGAGTATACACCGTATACAAACATCGACATTTGTTGATATGGCAAATTCCCAACTTGATTTTTCCAACCCTCTCAAATTATTCCTCATTTTCCTTGATTGACCTTAGAAAAAATGAGTAGCTATATGCCAACAAAGTAGATGTTTTGAATTTTCACCAACATGAAGATATTTCATAATTTCTTTTTATTGCCTTCTTATTGGGAAGTACAATCGCACTGTACTGTTCTAAACGATGTTCACTGAACCAATTCCTCGACAATAATGAGCTTTCGCCCCACTCCACCGGCTGGTCTACTGCGCATCCAATTCTCAAGGGCCAAACTAAAATGGTCAAGCTGTATGTATGTATGTATGCTGGTATGTGTAATCGACTCCTTCGGACTTGATTTTGACCCGTTGATCTGAAATTTGGCAGGTGTACATAATTCTGGAGGCAATGCATCATGAAATTTTGTTATTAGACAAAAAACAAAAAGGCGGCTCCAAAATGGCGAACTAGTTTTGTAATTATGATTTGATTGTATTAAAATTTGGTATCTGGGGGTTTTCGAAGTCGGAGACTATGATTCTTTCGTGAAAATTGGTGAACTCAAGTTGGAGGATCCAATATGGCGGACGAGTTTTGTATTTATGATCCGAATCTATTCAAAATTTGTATCTGGGGGTTTGCGGGATCGGAGATTATGATACTTCCATCAAAATTTGAAAATTCAAGATGGCGGATCCAATATGGCGGACGAGTTTTGTAACTATGATCCGAATCTATGTAAAATTTGTTACTGGGGGTTTTTCATTATTCTTTCGTCAAAATTTGAAAATTCGAGCTGGTGTAATCAATATGGCGGACGAGTTTTATAATTATGATCCGATTCTATTCAAAATTGGTATTTGGGGGCTTTCGATGTTGGAGATTATGATTCTCTCGTCAAAATTGACTAAGTACTTACAAAAAATACAAAAGCACTAAAAAACGAGCTTTTGTTGTTAGCCGAAATAAAAGATAGAAAATAAATAGAAGTTTAAAAAACTAAAGAAACACCCTTTTATAGACAGCCAAACTAAACTTATTGTTATGAGATTGTTGTACTTTCACGTTCAATTGAAAATGATCTAAATGAATTATCAACAGTAATATCACAAGACCTCGCACAGGACTATGGCAAATAGCCGACTATTATTTTCTTCATAATCTTATCGATCTTACCTTGTATTTTGACAATTCAATTAAAACATCTGAATGAGTTATTCTATGATAATCAATGTTCATATGGTTGGATTGAAATATCCCAATACACAAGTTACTCAAGATAAATAAAAAAAAGGTTTCTATTGGTCATGGTCGAGTGATATTTAGGAAGATTATTTCATGAACAGCATGAAATA